TTATCTTCACATATCCATATGTGTTCCCAATCTTCCGTGAAGATTTTCCCACATCTTATACATTTATCTGTATCAATTTTGTTCGTGTTTCTTTTAAATAAAGTGTTATATGTGGGCAATTCTTTAAGTAAATTTTTGATTCTGTATGAGCGTTCAATTGTGTCTCTATCACCACATTGTCTTTGCAAAAATTTAACTCTATTACTAATAAATTCAAGACTTGCGATCCAGTCAAATTCGTTTCTATAATTGTACATAAATAGATCTTCTAACCTCTCGCTGTTTAAAATTTCATTTTTCCAAATTGCTAATGTCACTGCTTTCCTCCAAACTCGGAATCCTCCTGTTATTAATTTGTTATTCCAAATTAAATTATATTCATTCGTAATTAAACCTTCGTCTATTAATTCAAAATTATATTTTATCTTATCTACTATCTTATTGTTCTTTAACATTTCCTGCATCTCTTTTCTTTTTTCTTTTATGATTCTCTGTATTTTCTCATTACCTTCGATTAATTCAATATTATTTGTTTCTAAAAAGTTTTCTAAAAATAAAAGCTCTAAATAGTAATCACTATCTATTTTCTTCCTATTACTAAAATTATTAGTAAATTCAATTATTAGTCTATTGACTTTCTCGTTTATTCCTAAAATTAATTCGCTATTCTCACTTATTATCATAATTCCTAAAATTATACATCTAAGAATAATTTTGAATTCGTTTTCGTAATTACATTCATAGCTCGCTAGTAGGATCACTTCCTCGCTCTCTTTTCCTTCGTAATTCAGTTCAAATATTTTCCATACTACATTATATCGATAAACTCTTTTACCTTTATTATTAATTTCCCATTTCTTTTTGTTTGTATTAATTAGTAAACAAAATCTTCGTTTTGTAATCGAAATCAAATTATCTTCTTCTTCGAAAATACTGTTTTTGATTATATCCAGAAAATTTTTGTCATTCGTGTTAATTATTTTGTCGATTAATTCTATTTTTTTGTTAAATGACTCATCTTTTTTATCTTCTTTTGTATACGTTCGTAACCATTCATTCTTTTTTATAATATTATTTAGAGTTTCGTACGGTTTAATATAGTCTTCTTCTTTTCTTCTATCTAAATTTCTACAGATTTCGTTTTCTATGTATATTAGACATTCGTTGCTCCCCTTTTTTTTACTAATGTTTCTAAAACATCCTTGACATTTCTTCAGTTGAGGCGAATTGTTTAGATTATAACTATCTCCGTCTAGTTCTAAATGTATTCCTATTCTTTTGTATTTCTTACTCTGCGATTTTTTTTTATTAATACTAAATATCGGGTATTCTCCGTAGTCGTTCCAAGTTACAATACTATTTTTGTCCGATTTTTCATCTTCATCAAAATAGTTTATGTGAATATTTTCTTTTTGTGCTTGTCCTATAAACTCGTTTCTTATTTTTCTTACTTGTCCACTTTCGTCTGCTATTAGTTTCAATTCTAATTTTTTAAACCATTTAGGCGATTTTCCTTTCGTGTTCTTTACTATTTCTTTACATAAATGCTTCCATTTTAGTAAAGTGATACCATCAGCCTCTAGGATGTCTTCTAAAAACATTATTTTTTTTGTTTTTCTTGATTGAGTACTTGTTATAAAATCCTTACACTCCATTAAATCAATTAGGTCAGTCTTTCCTCCTTTGATTCT